CAGGTGATATTTCAATGCCAGTCTCTGAACATGAGGACAATATTCAAGAAGGAGATGTGCCAACCATAACTGATGCAGCAGAAGATCCTGTGTATGATCAAGAAACTCAACAGCAACATGAAGATGTAGATCTTACGCAGCAAGAGCAATTCATGAGTACTACAGGTTTGACTATGACTGACACTGGAATTATTGACAAGAGCAATACTGCCCAAGTGCAATCTTTTCTTTAAATTAGTTATTTTGAAATTCCAAGTAACATTTCACGAGATGCTGATAATCATGCTTTCCCTACTCGTCTGCTGACAAAATTCTTCCAAATGGTGAGACCTGCCTAAAAGACTGGTTATGCTGGAGTACGGAAAAACAATCTCTGTACAGTGCACCCTGCTTCATTTTGAACAAAAGTGCTGCAAATGCATCAGTTCTCTCTGATCAATCAGGATGGAGCATCAACAGAGGTTGGAGGAAGTTGAAAAACCAAATACCATCACATGAGAGTTCAACATCACACAAAGACAACTATGTTGCATGGAAATCAGCCAGTAGGGCAGCATCAGCTGAAAGTTCAGTTGAGAATTTACTCTTGACTGAACTCTCTACAAAAACTAATAACTAGAAAAAAAAACTTCTTGAGTGAATCCTGAATGTCATCCTTTTTCTTTCTGAGCGGGGATTGGCTTTCTTTGGTTCCAGTCAACGTATTGGTGATCGTGCAAATGGAAACTTTCTAGGCATAGTTGAGCTCCTCAGCAAATATGACCCACTTTTATCAGAGCATGTTAAACGTGTTCGAGACTCGCAAGAGAGACAAAAGTGCATGCAAGTTCATTATCTCTCCACACGCATACAAAATAAGTTTATTGAGCTATGTGGGTCATTTGTACAAACAACAATTCTTGATGAGATTCGAAATGCCAAGTATTTTTCAATCATCATTGGTGCCACTCCAGATTGTTCTCACAAGGAACAGACTACTATGGTTATTTGATATGTTCAGATTGTAGACAGCTCAAAATTTTCAATTGAAGAAAGGTTTATTTTGTTTGATAATTTCATGAGGAAAAACTGGAAAAGAAATTGGTGCTTGAGTACTAGCAATTCTAGAAGGTTTTAAGTTAGATTTTCAAGTCTGCATTGGCCAAGCCTATGACAATGGATCTAATATGGCTGGGAAGTACAAAAGTGTACAAACAGTTTTGCTTGAGCATAATTCAAACTGTATTTTCTCCAGCTGTGGAAACCACACACTAAATCTTGTAGGTGTTGACTGTGCTGAATCATGCAAGGAGGCAATTATTTACCTTGGAACTGTTCAGCAAATGTACAGTCTCTTCGGTAGCAGTCCACAAAGGTGGGAAATTCTGAAGCAATATGTTCCTGTTTCACTGCATGGGATGTCCAAAACTAGATGGTCTGCACAGATTGATGGTGTTCAACCAGTTGCGCAGCATTTGAATTCAGTGAGAAAGGCTTTAAATGAGCTTGAATCACTCAATCTCACTGCACAGGCTCGAACTGAACTTCAGTCTATTCAGAAACACATATCCAAATTAGAATGCATTCTGATGTCATCTTTGTGGATGAAGCTACTTACAATGATCCACCAAACTAATCTGGTAATTGAAGCACGCAGTGCTACAGTTAATGTTGAGAGAGATAACATTGGAAGTCTTATCAATGACATTCAACAGATTCGTGAACAATGGGATGCGATCCCGACTGAGTCCACGTTAGTAGCACAGAATATTGGTGTGACGGTCGGTGCCCCCCATAACGCTTTATGGAAATATGCTTATGTATGTGTATATATATAACATAACTAGAATGTGTTGTATGCTATATATGCCATGTAACATATATCTGTAAAGGTTATGATCTACTGAATCTATTAATCCTATTTGTATGCATGTATCATTTTTGTACTCAAAGTTATGAATATTGGCCATGTACTGGCTTGATTTCTAAATAATCTTAGTAGAGCATTTGGTCAGTTCCTGGAGAAAGGAATTCACAAAGTTAAGTGACCAGTCAGGAAGCACTTAAGGAACAATGCATCTTGGAATGCTCCAATCCACATAAGAAGTCTTCCTGGAGACATTCAAGATATCTTGTGGGCAATGGCTTCTGCCTGTAAAAACTGTGAGTCATGCATGGACATGTGACTTGCCCAGGTAACTCCAGAACTCCAGCTTGGAGCTGGACTTTGCATAGGAGAGAGGAGGGGGTCTCCACCCACAAGAGAAAGTCTATTTAAGCCTGTAGGAGACCCCTCCATTTTGTCTTCAGCTGGCTAAAGAGAGAACCTCTCCACCCCTAAAGATACCTGAAAGAAACTGGAACAAAGGACAGTGACTGCAAGGGGTGTGAGTGATTGCTGGACCCAGACTAAAAGATTAATCTGTAAAAGGAAGCATTCTGGAACTGGTGAGGATCTTATCTGTATTCAGTTTCTTACTGTATTAGACATAGACTGGCATGTTTTGTTTTATTTTACTTGGTAATTCACTTTGTTCTGTCTGTCACTACTTGGAACCACTTAAATCCTACTTTCCGTATTTAATAAAATCACTTTTTTTATTTATTAATTAACCCAGATTATGTGTTAATACCGGGGTGGGCAAATAGCTGTGCATATCTCTCTATCAGTGTTATAGAGGGCGAACAATTTATGAGTTTACCCTGCATAAGCTTTTTACAGGGTAAAACGGATTTATTTGGGTTTAGACCCCATTGGGAGTTGGGCATCTGAGTGTTAAAGACAAGAACACCCCTGCTAGCTGCTTTCAGGTAAACCTGCAGCTGTTAGGGGACGTGATTCAGACCTGGGTCTGGGTTTGCAGCAGGCTAGCAAGTCTGGCTCAAACCAGGCAGGGCACTGAAGTCCTAAGCTGACGGGGCAGGAAAGCAGGGGCAGAAGTAGTCTTGGCACATCAGGTGGCAACCCCCAGGTGGTTTCTGTGATCTAACCCGTCACAATTGGCCTTTCATCTGAGTTCTCCACCAATTGCAACTTACCTACTGAATCGGATGCTGAACAGCATTATAAGGTCAATGTCTTCCATGTCATCATTGACTCTATTCAATCAGGTCTTACACATCGATATGAGTCACTGCGACTAATTTGTACCCTTTTGGGGTTTCTTTGGCAGTTCAACAGACTGAGTAATGAAGATCTACTTTCTGCAGCTGAACAATTTCAGCAACGGTACAACAAAGAAATCTCAAAAGATCTCAGTGACGAGGTCATCTTCCTCAAATGAATATATTCCACGAACTTCAAATTGGATTGCAAGCCAAAGGAATTGCTTCAAGAAATACTCAAACTTGGACTCTCTGGGGTGTTTCCTAATATCACAGTTGTATTGTGTATTTTTGTCCGTTTTCCTGCATCAGTGGCTTCAGGTGAACACACCTTCAACATGTTGAAGCAGGTAAAGAACTATCACCATTCAACTATGGAACAAGAGCATTTGAATGGGCTCGCCATGCTTAATATTAACTGTGATATTGCACGAAAGCTAGATTACTCCTCAATAATTAGTGCATTTGCACAGAAAAAGGCTAGACAAACATTTGTTAAATAAAAAAATATTCAAATTATGTTTCACTCTTTCTTTGGTGCCTTATTTTGTTTTCATGTGTCATCATTTTTAATTTTTATTATGGCTAGGGGCCTCAAAAGCTGGAAGTGGCCCAGGCTTCTCTGGACCTCTGAAAGGGCCTGTCTGGAAAAACTGAGTGGGGAGGGGAGGGATGGTGGATTTCTATTCCAGGAAGCATAATACGATTTAGATGCTGGCTCCCATCTCAGTAAGAACCCTACAATAGTTTCCCCCAAGACTGGTTTAAAAATGAGCCCAAAGCTGACACCATCCCCAGAAGCCTGGGGTTGGCATCAAATATGCAAAAACAACGAGGAGTCCTTGTGGCACCTTAGAGATTAACAACTTTATTTGGGCATAAGCTTTCGTGGGCTAGAACCCACTTCATCAGATGCATGGAGTGGAACATACAGTAGCAGGTATAAATACACAGCACATGAAAAGATGGTAGTTGCCATTTTGCTGACACAGACTAACACCTCTACCAATCTGAAACCTATCAAATATGCAGTCATTCTAATTTTATATGTGCTAAAACAAAACAAAATAGCCCCCCAAACAATTGGCACTAAAATGGTTGGCAGCAACTGTAGAGGCATCATGGATGGGCTCTCCCCAGGTGGGTGCTGAGACCCTGGCAGAGGCGGGAAGGGAAGCTTGCAAGGGCCACTATCCATACAACTGTCATCCTGTCAGTCTCTGGAGAGTCAGTTTCACACGCTCTGCAGCTACTAAAAAGTGTAACAGGTGCTAGTGGGTGCAGTGTTTCTGTGGGCAGAGTGGTGTGAGTGTGTCCCCTTCATGTCTTGGTCCTGCACGTGTGTGTGTCTGTGTCTGCCTCTCCATGTATTGGTCCTGCCCGTTCGCATGAGCTGTCACAAAGTCTGCAGTGGGGCGGGGGGGGGGGGGGGAATAAGAGCCTTCCACTCCAAAGGTGACAGAATCACTTGCTCGTCCATGGAAAGGCTGCAATGGCCCGGGGGGCTCCTATAGCTCCGGGCGAGTGAAACGCCTAAGTAGTGTCCACCGCTACCCCCGCGCCTCAGTCAGGCACGGGCACGGGGCCTATCCACACAGCATCTGGGCGCTAAGGGGGGCTGTGCTGGCGGGTCCGCTTCCTTGCAGAACTGAAAGGTGAGTGAGCGAGCCAGGGCAGCTCCCCTTCTGCCCGAGCGCGGCGGGAGGGAGGGGGGGATTTGCATGTGACGTTTTGTTTGCAGCAAGCCTCAAAGTAGAGGGGAGAGCGCGGGGTGAGGGAGGCAGCGGCGAGCCTGAGGACGGGGCGCTGCTGCGGCAGAGGGACGCGCAGGGGCAGGGAGAGCCCGCAGAGCAGGCAGCGCTGGCGGGAGGAGGCAGCGGGAGCAGAGGGCGCTGCTGCAGCCGGCCCCAGGATGTAGGCGAGCAGCTGGAGAGCTCCTGCTGGCAGAAGGGCTCACCATGAAGAAACACTCAGCCAGGGTCGCCCCGCTCAGCGCGTGCAACAGCCCGGTCCTTACCCTCACCAAAGTGGAAGGTAAATCCGGCCGCAGCGGAGCTCGGCAGCCCCGCGGATTGGGGCGTGGGGACCCCGCCGGTCAGTCCGCGGCTGTGCGGCGGCGGGAGCTCAGCGCTCCTTGCCCGAGCGGGAGAAGGCGGCAGCCCGGCGCTGCGGGTTCCTGGGGTGGCTCTGCTGCTGGGCGCGCCCTGCGGGAGGGCGAGGGGCGGGTTTGCTGCAGCCGCGCGGGGAGAGGACGGGGCCCTAGCCTGAAGGGACCCGCCGACTTCCATTGAAGGAGGATTTCGCCAATGCAGACATCGCCGTCCAGTGTGCTGAACGTCACCTCCCTCCTGCGGGGAGCAAGCCCTCCTCCCGCGGGGGCCGGAGCCTGGCACAAGTTAGCGCTAAGTTTTCCCGGGCGGGGAACAGGCAGGGGAGGGGCTGGCTTGGGGAAGGACATGCTGCCCTCAAAGGAAATGGAGAACCGCTCATTGCCCACATCGTCTGCCTGCTGCGGGGCTGCGACTCCGCTTTCCTGCGGGGGGGTGGGTTTGGTTGGAGGCTACATTGCGTTGCATTGTTGCGATATTCCCACTGCTGTACCAGAGCCTCCTCCAGCACTCCCCGGCCCCCTTCTGAAGCCTTGGAGAGCAGGAAGCAGACTCTGCCTTCAACTGTGCTGGCACTGAGCTAAAGCTGACCCAAGCCCTTAACGCGCATTGGGCAATGACTCCCCCTCAGACACACCACCACCATCCTAGGTGCTCGAACTAGGGGTGCGGGGGTGCTGCAGCACCCCCTGACTTGAAGTGGTTTCCATCATATACAGGGTTTACAGCTTGGTTTAGTGGCTCTCAGCACCCCCATCATTCCAGCACCCCTGGCCACCATCACACTGACTGACTGTGCACTGGTCGCAGGACACCCCTGTGAGGCAGGGCAGTGCTCTTATCCCAATTGACAGATGGGGAGAGACTAAGGGATTTACCCACGGTCACACAGGAAGTCAGTGGCAGAGCCAGGACTTAAACCCATGTTTTTCAAGTCCCAGGCTCACACCCCAACCACTGGACCTTCCACTTAGTTGATAATTGGTCAGAATCTGTCAACACTAGCAGGTGGATGGAACGGAAGCATTGGAGGTTGTTCAGGCTGAACTGATAGAGCTGGTGTGCTCTGTTGGCCTGAAACAATAAGCACATTGGCTCCATACGGACTGAAACTAGAGGTGCTAGGGGTGCTACTGCATCCCCTGGCTTGAAGTGGTTTCCATCATATACAGGGTTTCAGCTTGGTTCAATGGCTCCCACTATACAAATAGTTCAATGACTCTCAGCACCGCTGATTGTCTCTAAAGTTAGCAGAAGTGCAGAGAGGTTTCAAGAGGCAATTTGCAGCCAGGAGAGGGAAACCTGCAGTCATTCAGATACCAGGCTCTGGGTGTTCTGGTCTACAGTAGTCTATAGTGAAGCAGCAGTCGCAGAGGAAAGCAACCAGGGAAACCTGAAGAGGTTATGCTCCAGGTGAAATGACACTGGAGTGTAGCATGGCATGTGGGAAGGCAAGGAATGAGGCACCATGGTCTGGAATGCAGTAGGCATCAGAGGAACAAGTGGGCCAGGCGCTGAAGCATAGGAAGGAAGCTGAGGGAGGGTATGGGGAAGATGTGGAAAAAGAGAATGAAGAGACGATGGGGGCAGGGAAGGGAAAGGGTCAGTGGAGGGAGAAAGAGGGTCCTAGAGGGAGCAAGTCAGGCACTGTAGGAAAGAACAAAGAAGAAGTGCAAATAGGCATTGGGAAGAAATATAGACAATGTGGCATTGGGAGAAAGTGGCTGGGAGGAAAGGAAGAGAAAGGGACTGGGAGAGAAGACGGGTAATAAGAAGGCCCATCAGAGAAAGGAGGGAGAGAGAAAAGAGGAAATGGGATTGAGATTCGGGAGCACTCAAAGGAGAAAAAAGACAGAGGGCTCCTTGGAGGAGAAATAAAAATGGGGGGCTCCAGTAAAGTGGGGAGGAAAAGCAGAATAAGAAGAGAAGTATTGAAAGAGAAAAACAGAGAGGAGAGGAGAGAAAATGGTAGAAATACAGATGGAGAGAAAGAGGAGGAAATGAAGAAATGGGGTGAGAGAACAAAAAAGGAATAAATAAATGGAAGGTGAAAAAGAAAAATCAAGACCACACAACATTAAGGCTAGTGGTTCTATTTATTCAGAATACATGTTGCTCTATTTCCCAGGCAGTAATCCCCCTGGGGACAGTGTGTAGCCAATCTCCTGGCCAGTTCTTGATGGAAGAGTTTTTAGACTGATTGCTCTTTCCTTGAGCTGTAAATTGAATCCTTTCAAGCCTGTCCCTGTCAGCTCTGTGTACCAACTTTCAGAGACCATATTATCAGCTACCAAGAACTTAGCTGACCTAGTTGGCTTTTTCCAGCTTTAGTTTCTATGTGTCTGATTCTGCTTCCATTGAAGTAATGGAATGGCAAAATTTAAAATACTGTACTTAAATGATTCAGGATACGGACCAGAGATTTATGGAAACAGCTGGAGTTACTCTTGCCATTTATGTCTTTTTCATGAGATAGACCAACTCTGTGTGAGAGCATCTCTTACCAAATTAATCAACAGGGCAGTTCTTGGGATGGTTACCAATGACACAGAACCTCTTTTCTTGCAAACTGTGGGCTTACAGTGCTAATGAAAAAGACAGAACACAGCTCTAGACATAAATGAACCGAAGTATATTGCAGGCAAGCTTTGATACCCAGCCCTGCTGCTGCACCTTTGCAAAGGTGTGCTACACCATCGTTTTGCTAGCTGATCTCTGCTTAGCACAGGCTGAGAGCCCTGAAGTTTGTCAAGCTGTGTAGTGGAATCAAGGCTGATTCTGAAATAGCAACACACAAAAAAGTTTGTCCCCGCTTTCAGCTAGCAGGAGTGATTACCCTTTTCTGGCCCAGCACCAAAGCTACTTGGAGGAATTGGAACTGGTGGAGCCTGAGGGAATGTGCCTCTCGCTAGTCAGCCAAGAGGAGCCTTTCATTGATATGCATTACTGTAATGCCTTTCAGCATTCCCTCCCTCTCTGTCTGTACAGTTGCTACTTTGCTTTAAAAGGGAGATAAGGACTTTGTGCTCTTTCAGAAGCGTGACTGCCATTTCAAATTATCCCAGAGATTGAATCATCACTATGCACCGAGCCTGCTGTACTAGCATTTTGAAAGACAACCACATCATATACATATCATTCAAAGAGGCAGTAACCATACTCCCTTCTCCTGTGTCTGATGCTGCACCTGTTTATTTCTTGTATAGCTCCTGCCAAGCATAGGCTCAGTGTCCATTACTTATGTTTTTCCATATTTCTGTTGTTTTTATAGGCAATTTCTGTAATGCAGTGGCCATCTTAAAGCTATGCTTTGTCTCTCTAGCCAGTGAGCTAGCTTCACCTCCATGGATGCATGGAGGTGCAATTTACTCTGATGTCTGTATTCACCCCCAGGGAAGGGTAGCTAGTGTTTTCTCCTACCCTCCATCTTGGGGTCTTCCAGAGAAGGGCAGCTTTGGGTATGTCTACACTACAGGATTAATCCGAATTTAGATAATTCGAATTTGGGAAACAGGTTGTATAAATTCGATTGTGCGCGGCCACACTAAGCACCTTAATTCGGTTTTAAACCACATTAATTCGGTGGTGTGCGGCCACACTACCCCATTAACTTAAATACAGTAATTCGGTGGTGTGCGTCCACACTAACCCTAATTCGAATTAACAAAATCGATTTAGGCTCTACTCCGTTCGTCGAGGTGGAGTACAGAAATCGATTTAAAGGGCCCTTTAATTCGAATTAACTGGCTCTGTAGTGTGGACGGGTGAAGGGTTAATTCGGATTAAGGCAGCTAAATCCGAATTAAAGTCCTAGTGTAGACCAGGCCTATGACTTTCACCAAAAGCTCCAGGACACCCTCTCTGTGCAAAGTGAATACACCAAATCACTATCAGTACATCCTACAGCTGTCCTAACCATGCCCCTCCTTGACCGATACCACCCAATTCCAAGCTCTGGGCCCATACCAGAAGGGAAATGGTATCTTCTTTCTGCTACTGCAGTCGCCACTTCTAGCTGTGCACAAGGCTATACACTGGCAAAAGTCAGCATAGATTCAGGAATTATTCTGGCCCATTGTTTTCTCTGTTTATTTTGTCACTGATAATTGTCTGGTTATATCAGATTTTGGAGCTGGTGTTCATCTCTTGTCAGGTAAATTAGGACTCCAGTGAAGTCAACAAAGTTATATCAGTGTAAAGGAGTTCAGAATCAAGCCCTTTTCCTCTAAAGTTTAACTTTCCTTTGGAAATTTCCCCCTCAAAAAGATATGAAAAGTTATAACTTTTTCACCTATTAAATCATTTGACAGTTTTATTGCATCTTAAAACTCAGAGCTGTGAATCATTATATTTGCAGTACATAATATAACCTTGGACTTTTCAGGACTTTGTCAGATATATGTGTATGTGGGGAGAGAGAGAAAGAGAGAGGAAGAAGGACTAACTAAAAGGCATTGTGCATAAAAGTATAAATATATGGAGCTACTCAGATTCACATCCGCTGAGGATTTTGCCCTTTATTTACCTCAGTTAGGGATGGCAGCATCTCAGTCACACACCCCACAACCACACCCTCACACACTTTCCATGTTGTATAATTATACCTCATTTAGTTCTTTCTAATTACATTTATTATAATCATTCATACTTTTACATTCTAGTTAATTAACAGGGAAACATTGTTTTACTTTTGCCAGAAGCTTAGCTGAAGCTATGGAAATGCAACTAGTGATGTTCAGAAGCTGCTCACATCACAAGTTATATCTCTCTTCTATAAATTATTGCATTTGCCTGTCTCTGTTTAGATAAGTTAGGGCCAAATTCTGCCTTGTGCAAATCTGGAGTAACTCCATTGGCATCACTGGAATTATTCAGGATTTCCACAAGCATAACCAAGGCCAGAATTTGGACTTTAATGTGTTATAC